TCTCAATAATTTAAAATTTATTTATTAAAACATTATTTTACTAATATAATTAAATTCCTACATATTGAACGAACCATTTTGAATCACTAAAAGTTTTATTTAAAGCATTCAAATTCAACTTCATCAATATTAAACTAACTTTGAATAATTGATTTATTAAAGAAGTTTCGTTTTAAATAAAGCTATTTTATAATATTTAAAGAAATCTTATACTTTGACTTAATCTTTGTGTTTATTAAATTACAAACAAATGACTATTAATTATGACAATTATTTAGTGTTTAACTTATAGTTAGTTATATGACTATCGATTAGGGCGTAGACATTATGACCTGTCTTTAAGAGAGACAATAATAAAGTAGACATAAAACTTGTTCAGTACTACTCCACCCATTTTCGAGAAAACCATTAAATATTGTTTTTGAGCCTAAATTTGTATGAATTTTGTTATTTATCAGAAATGGCTGGAATTTGTTTCCAATTTATTCGACACTTATATATAAGACTCACATTTGAAAGTCGTCTTAAAACTAGTCATGACATCAGTTCTTACCGTTGATTTGATTTGAATTTAAATTCTCATATTTATGTGAAAGTTATTTATCGAAAGTATTCTGTAATTCTTTGGCCAAAACTATTCATACATTTACTCTATTGTCAAACGAATTCAATGACAGAATTATTGATTTTTATGATTCGCTTTTAATTAACAGTTATTCAAAAGAATTTTACTCAAAAAAGAGTTTAATAATTTATGAAGTGTTTAGTAAAAATTGACGCTTTTGTTATTTAATTGCAAAATTAACGGCAAAAACATGAGCGAAAATAGTTCACAAAAATCCGATTCCCCTAAAGAGTCGCCCAAAAAGGAGAGAACCGACTCCACCACCGATTCACCCAAAAGTCAAACTCCAGTCAAGATTACGACCGAAAGCAGGAGAAGGGGTTCACTATTGCCGCCCGACAGTCAGATTTTGATACCCAAAAGGGGTTCAAGGAGTGGGCGAAGGGGGTCCCAGGCCTTCGTGTTGGGCGACGACACCATTGTTATGGCATTCGAGAGCCGAAGACTTTCATCGTTTTGTACCACTTCTTCAAATGAGTGAGTCTTTCGTCTCATTTATTCAGAAATCTTTGCATTACTGTAGTATTGATCTGAAGTCTACTGCACTTCCCATTAGTGCATAATTTGTATCTTAATTCTCGCTTCAATATTGTGTTCACTTAACATTTAATTGATTTGTTAAAACATTTTATCACAAAACTCATTAGCCTTTGATAATGTGTTTGTTTGAAATGTATTGATTAAAATAAGCGTAAAATTGTCGTAAAAACAGAGAGACAGCTATTTCTATGGGCGACGACCCGTTCACTGAAGAGGAAATCTCAGAGACAATTAGAGCCCATAAACAGATCATATCAACGATGCGATCACAGCACTGGCCAATGCATCGCAAATTAAAAGTCAGTCATTTTAATAGCAAATTAATTAGCATTGATTTAATGACTCATTAAATGCGACCAAAGGTCTTGAATCGGGCCAAACATTACATCAAACGACATGAGGGAGAGCTGAAGCAAAGCAAACAGGCCAAGGATATGGTCGCCAAATACAAAGTCTATGTCGACAGAGTGAGTTCCCTTGTATTTGATGATCGAAACATCACTTATTTATTGTTATACAAAATTCTAACAGTTTTTTAATATTTAAAAAGTGTTTTTTTCATATTTTAATGCATTTCGTCTATTTTATTCGTAAAAATGTTTTTGTTTTTTCCAGACAATCAATCGATTCAAAAGGGAATTTGCAAACCTTATAGTAGTGATCACTCCCTGGGAGATGAGGATCAAGAAAATAGAGAGTAAATTCAATAGTCATATAAAGTCATATAAAACAAAAATTATTCAAATCCTTTGCCTTTCGAAGGAAATAAAAGCTTTTGTTTTTGTGAAACAGCTTTTCTTTACTTAGCAGTGATTGATATTCAGTAATAAAATTCTTATACAAAAAAGTCACTAAAATATGAATTTCTAATTTTCGTACAAAAGGCCACTTCGGCTCAGGTGTCGCCTCGTATTTTATATTTCTTCGTTGGGTGTTTTGGGTTAATATATTTATTAGTGTTTTCATATGTTGTTTCCTAATGGTTCCTGAGGTATAACCGCTTCTATTGTTGTCACATAACTCCGCTATAATAAAAAGTCTATTACTTATACATTCAGGTATTACGAGGAGATCCCGACTCCACTGGAATGAGAAAAGAAGTGAAGGATAAGGAGGGCTCTCTTGAACTGCAGGCCATTTGGGATTTCGAGGTAACCATTGCTGTAGTGGTGGTGGATGTCATCGTTGCCATCGTGGCCATCCATCAGGATTATGCAAATGTCACTAAAGTCTGAGTTAGTCGACGCTAACACTATTTCTCTATATTAAGGGTTATCTCAAGTATTCGCCCATTTTTTATGGCTATTACAGCAAAAGTGAAATGACTTCTGAAGGTATAATTATATAATTTGTTCATCAGTTGTAAAGAAATTAAGTGATTTATTTGAATGTGACGAATAGGTTATCGTTTGCCTTTGGCTTACTTTCTCACCTCATTCTTCCTCTATATGTTCAGCTTTTTCTGTGTTCTCCGAAAGTAAACACAAATTTCAATGATTTCATATAAATATCAAAAGAGTTTGTTGTGAACCATATGTTTAATGCAAAGGATGGCACAAAACGCGCGGATGAGTCGTATCTCCTCTAAGGACGACGAGTCGACCTTTTGTTGGAAACTCTTCACCGGTTTTGCTCTTCTCTTACTTCCAAACAAAATCCTCTCTTCTCTCCTATTCTTTAATATAAATTCATGCGTTTTGTATGTCTTTTCAAGTTTTACATAATAGATGTTTTCATTGATGTTAGGCTGGGATTACATGATAGGCAACAGTGAGACGGCCTATAATAAAGTGGCGTCACTTGTAATGGGATTTAAAGAATCCATTCTCGAAGAGAAAGAGCGAAAGAAAGACGAAAGAAATTGGAAACGAATCGCTTTGAGAGTATTGGCCAACATTTTGTGAGTTAAACCTAAAACTCAATTTAAATGTTGAAAAATGTTTGAA